GAAGGGATATCTGCACTCCTATATTTGTTACAGCATTGTTTACAATAGCTAAGATTTGGAAGCCACCTAAGTGTCCTTCAACAGATAAATAGATAAAAAACGTGGTACATTTACACAACAGAATACTGTTCAACCATAAAAAAAGAATGAGATCCAGTCATTTGCAACAACATAGAAGGAACTGGAGATCATTAGGTTAAGTGAAATAATCCAGGCACATAAAGACAAACATCATATGTTCTTACTTGTTTGTAGAATTTAAAAATCAAAACAACTGAACTCATAGACATAGAGAATAGAATGATGGTTCCACGTCTTTGCTATTATAAACAGTGCTGCAATGAACATAACTGTGCATGTGTCTTTATAATAGAATGATTTATAATCCTTTGGATATACACCCAGTAATGGGATTGCTGGGTCAAATGGAATTTCTATTCTAGGTCCTTGAGCAATTGCCACACTGTCTTCCACAATGGTTGAACTTATTTACACTCCCACCAACAGGGTGTAAGTGTTCCTATTTCTCCACATCCTCTCCAGAATCTGCTGTCTCCTGATTTTTTTAAGGATCACCATTCTAACTGGTGTGAGATGGTATCTCAATGTGGTTTTGATTTGCATTTCTCTAATGACCAGTGATGATGAGCATTTTTTCATATATTGACCTCATATATGTCTCCTTTTGAAAAGTGTCTGTTCATATCCTTTGCCCACTTCTAAATGGGTTTGTTTTTTTTTTCTTATAAATCTGTTTTAGTTCTTTGTAGATTCTGTATATTAGCCCTTTGTCAGATGGGTAGATCGCAAAATTTTTCCCCATTCTATTGGTTGCCAGTTCACTCTAATGCTTGTTTCTTTTGCTGTACAGAAGCTCTGGAGTTTAATTAGGTCCCATTTGTGTATTTTGGCTCTTGTTGTCAATGCTTTTGGTGGTTTAGTCATGAAGTCCTTGCCTATGCCTATGTCCTGAATGGTTTTGCCTAGGTTTTCTTCTAGGGTTTTTATGGTGTTCAGTCTTATGTTTAAGTCTTTAATCCATCTGGAGTTAATTTTAGTGTAAGGTGTCAGGAAGGGGTCTAGTTTCTGCTTTCTGCATATGGCTAACCAGTTTTCCCAACACTATTTATTAAACAAAGGATCCTTTCCCTGTTGCTTGTTTTTGTCAGGTTTGTTGAAGATCAGATAGTTGTAGATGTGTGGCATTTCCTCTGAGGCCTCTGTCCTGTTCCATTGGTACAGTAGCCTTGCAATATAGTTTGAAGTCAGGTAGCGTGATGCCTCCAGCTTTGTTCCTTTTGCTTAGAATTGTCTTGGCTATGTGGGCTCTCTTTTGGTTCCATATGAAGTTTAAGGTGTTTTTTTTCCAGTTCGGTGAACAGGGTGGTAGGTATCTTGATGGGGATAGCATTGAATCTATAAATTACTCTGGGCAGTATGGCCATTTTCATAATACTGATTCTTCCTAACCATGAGCATGGAATGTTTTTCCATCTGTTTGTGTCCTCTCGCATTTCCTTGAGCAGTGCTTTGTGGTTCTCCTTGAAGAGGTCCTTTAAATCCTTTGTTAGTTGTATTCCTATTTTTTTCTCTTTGTAGCAATTGTGAATGGCAGTTGGTTCTTGATTTGGCTCTCTTTAAGTCTGTTATTGGTGTATAGGAATGCTTGTGATATCTGCACATTGATTTTATATTCTGAGACTTTGCTGAAGTTGCTTATCAATTTCAGGATATTTCGGGCTGAGATGATGGGGTCTTGTAAATATACAATCATATAGTCTGCAAATAGAGACAATTTGACTTCCTCCTTTCCTAATTGAATACCCTTTGTTTCTTTTTCTTGCCTGATTGCTCTGCCTAGAACTTCCAATGCTATATTGAATAGGAGTGGTGAGAGAGGGCATCTTGTCTAGTGCTAGATTTCAAAGGGAGTTTTTCCAGTTTTTGCCCATTCAGTATGATATTGGCAGTGGGTTTTTTGTAAATAGCTTTTATTATTTTGAGATATGTTCCGTTGATACCTAGTTTATTGAGTTTTTAGCATAAAGGGCTGTTGAATTTTGTCCAAGGCCTTCTCTGCATTTTATTGAGATAACCATGTGGTTTTTGTTTTTGGTTCTGTTTATGTGGTGAATTACATTTATAGACTTGTGTATGTTGAACCAGCCTTGCATCCCCGGGATGAAGCCTACTTGATAGTGATGAATGCGATCAGTTTGCCAGTATTTTATTGAAAATTTTTGCATCTATGTTCATCATGGATACTGGCCTGAAGTTTTCTTTTCTTGTTACATCTCTGCCAGGTTTTGGTATCAGGATGATGTTGGTCTCATAAATTGATTTGGGAAGAATTCCCTCTTTTTGGATTGTTTGGAATCGTTTCAGAAGGAGTTATACCAGCTCCTCTTTGTATGTCTGGTAGAATTCGGCTATGAACCCATTTGGACCTGGGTTTCTTTTTTTTTTTTTTTTTTGGTAGGTAGGCTATTAATTCCTGCCTCAACTTCAGCCTTTGTTATTGGTCTATTCAAGGTTTCAACTTCTTCCTGGTTTAGGCTTGGGAGGGTGCAAGTGTCCAAGAATTTATCCATTTCTTCCAGATGTACTGATCTATGTGCATAGAGTCGTTTTTAGTAATCTCTGATGGTGGTTTGTATTTCTGTGGAATCGGTGGTGATATCCCCTTTATTGCTTTTTATTACATCTATTTGATTCTTCTCTCTTTTCTTTTTATTATTAATATGGCTAGCTGCCTGTCTATTTTGTTGATCTTTTCAAAACACCAGCTCCTGGATTTACTGATTTTTTGAAGGTTTTTTTATGTCTCTATCTCCTTCAGTTCTGCTCTTATCTGAGTTAGTTCTTGTCTTCTGTTAGCTTTTGAGTTTTTTTTTTTTTTTATCTTGCTCCTCTAGCTGTTTCAATTTTGATGATAGGATGTCAATTTTAGATCCTTTCTTGCTTCTCATGTGGGCAATTATTGCTATAAATTTTCCTCTGGACACTACTTCAAATGTGTCGAGACAGGATTAAGTTCTATCACCCAGGCTGGAGTACAGTGGCATGTTCTTAGCTCACTGCCACCTCTATCTCCCAGGCTCAAGCAAACTTGCCACCTCAGCCTCCCAAGTAGTTGGGACTACAGGTGCTTGCCACCACACCTGACAAATGTTTGTATTTTTTCTAGAGATGTGGTTTTGTCATGTTGCCCAGGGTGGTCTTGAACTCCCAGGCTCAAGCCATCCTCTTGCTTTTGCCTCCCAAAGTGCTGGGATTACAGGTCTGAGCTGCCACGCCCAGCCATGGAACTATTCATAATCATTGCTTTCAAAATCTTGTATTTTTTTCCTCACATCTCATTTTGGCAAACCACATCTATTACCTCCGTTGAAACTTCAACTTTAATGCCTTGGCCTTTTTAATGGTTGTTTTTTAACTGTTACTTTAGGTTCAGGAGTAGAGGTGAAGGTTTGTTATACAGCTAAACTCATATCAGGGGGCTTGTTGTACACACATTACTTAGTCACTCAGGTATTAAACCCAGTACCCAATGGTGATCTTTTCTTTTCCCCTCCCACCTTCCACCCTCCACTCTCAAGTAGACCCCCTCATTCAAGTTGTTCCCTTCTTTATATTCATAAGTTCTCATCGTTTAGCTCCCACTTATAAATGAAAGCATGTGGTATTTGATTTTCTGTTCCTGCATCAGTTTGCTAAAGATGATGACCTCCAGCTCCATGCATTTTCCCGCAAAAGACATGATCTCATTATTTTCTGCATAAATGTCCAGTTATGTAGGTATATAAGAACATATTCAGGGACCAAGAAATACTGATGAGATAACTTAGTCATTAAACAATGCTAAAGATAAACTTATAACTTTATATCTTACCTCCCTAACTATATTATAACCTCCTCTAGTGTTATAATCACATCTTCTACGTCTTTGCAGTGCATACACACATACACACACACAAACACACAGGTATAGAAACATAATTCTATCCTAAAATTGACTCAAGAAATGCTGGTAGTTGATTTGATGATGTATCTTTGTATACTTAATCCTCCAAAAGCAATCAAGCATGAATCTGAGGTCAGAAACACATACTTTGGAGCCAGAATTTGAACGGCTGGGTTTCCAGCTAAGTCACTGGTAACCACCTGCAAAGCTGGCTTGGTTTATCATCAGCCACAGATTCACACAAGTCAACCCTGAAGATCAATGGATGCCAAATATTTCATCCAGAGCAAACTGAACACCCAAATATACATCATAATACATCATCCAGGTCAAATATTATTTTTTACCTTGTAATTTATCTGAATCCTTAAAAATAACATTATGAATTGGAGGATTAGCCCCTCTAAAATTGGCAGCCACAGAGCTTAAAATTCAGGTGAAATGCATCATTTTCACCCACAAGCTAGGAAATCAGCTCTGTTCACTAAGTATGTAACAGTGGGGATATGCCCATCACTTCGCTGGTTTAAAGAAAAATCTTTTGCTTCTGAATGGTTCTGAATGTTTCTTCCTTGGCCAGTGATGCCATTTTCCTTTCATTTCCTTTCATTACTTTGTGTAAACTCCTCCACTACACAGTGTCTCAAGTTTTTCACCTTCTGTGTAGGGCCTTACAGGGACTCAGCACTGTGGGACAACAGGCTGTGCATGGACAATGGATGGATTGGTGGGTATTGAATACCACCCACTCACTCCAGCCCCAGTTCTCACCAAGGCTGGGTTTCTTCCCTCCTCACTTCCAACACTCCAGTCTGCACTGTTTTCCCACCTCCTCTTAGTCTTTCCTATCCACTAGCTCCATACTTACCTTGCCTTTAGGGATGGAAAATTCTAGCTAAATATAGGCATGCATCACAGTTTTCTTTTCTCTTGTTGGGCCAGCAGCTTATAGGTACGTTTCTGCTTCTGTACAGTTTGGGAGGGGAAGACAGTTTCCAGGGAACCCATGAAAGCAGAAAAAGAAAGATATACTGACCTTGGTAAATTCACAGATTAATATTTTGAGCTATGGCTGCAGCATAAATGCTTTCCAATCAGTGTCTTCTCCCCTTTGCAAAAGATGCTCTCCTTACTCACTTCCCAGCTTGTGTTCTTTAAAGGCAAAATGGTTTGAAAACAAAAAGTGGCACAATATGAACATGTTTAACCAAGCTCATATTGGTTGAACCAACCAAGACAGCAGAGATTAATAAGCAAAGCCAGGATCATGGCCAAACAAGAGAATCTCATGTGAGGCTATATTGAGAGCATGGACAGGGACAGTACAAAAGGGAATCTTAGGCAGAGTTAAGATTACAGTTGGTGGCCAATGACCAGGCAGGGAAAGTAATCATCATGCAAGAGAAACCATGCCTGGTGCAATCCACAAGGTGGTAATCCACAATAGCTAGGCACATTTTTCTGATTGGGAAAGAAAAAGGTGCTAAAGCTCTATAGTAATTCATTAGATCCAGAAGAATGAACTGAAGCTCCTCTAGGTTGAATATTTGAACCAAATCAGTTGATATGGATATAGATTCTAGAATAGCTCCAAAGATGTTCCATTAGGTACGTCTGATCTGAAAAGTTTTTAATAGACATGATTTTTGGATTCTTCATCGACTTTGAGTTTACTCTAAGAAGGCAATCAATGAAAGTATAGACCCATAATCCTACATCTTCATCTCAAAGTGCATAAAGATCTATTAAGACCCAACACGAAGTAATTTTTTGTTATTTGCTTCTGATTAAGACAGAACCTGATTAAGGTATGAGGGAAAAAATCTATGTTTTCATCCAGAAACTTTTACAAATTCTTACTGCTAAAAGTAATTATCAGTCATAATTGCTTTTATACAATAAACTTTTCTTTTAAGGATGTAAGTGTCCCTTTCAGAACCAATCGTATTTAAAATGCTTGTAACCAGTATATTGCTCTGTCTCAACTCAGTGGTGTATGAAAGTGAAGCAGTTTCATTTTTCTCTAATTTGATTACTCCTTCACTCAAGCTCAGTCGGTTCTGCTCTTTGAATCCTTAATTGCATCCTAGGCAGATTTCAAAACTTTGTCCTTTATTTTCTATTATTAAAACTCAGTCCACCGCAGCTAACATCTTACTGAAAGGGGAAAAGCTGAAAGCCTTTTCTCTAAAAACTAGAACAAGACAAGGATGCCCACTCTCACCACTCGTTCAACATAGGACTGGAAGTTCTAACCGGAACAATTAGGCGAGATAAAGAAATAAAGGGCATTCAAATTAAATAGGAGGAAGTCAAATGGTCTTTGTTTGCAGATAAAATAATTTTATAGACAGAAAAACCTAAAGATTTGACCAAAGAACTCTTAGAACTGATAAATGAATTCAGTAGAGTTGCTGAATACAAAGTTGATACACAACAATTAGTAGTATTTCTGTACCTAAACAAATTAACCAGCTGAAAAAGAAGTCAAGAAGGCAATCCCATTTACAATAACTACAAAATAATACCTAGGAATAAATTTAACCAAGGAGGTAAAAGACCTTTACAAGGAAAACTACAAAACACTAATGAAAGAAATTGAAGAGGGTACAAACAAATAAAACATTCCATGCCCATGGATCAGAAGAATTGATATCTTTAAAATGACAACACTACCCAAAGCCATATATGAACTCAATGCAATCCCTATAAAAATACTAATGATGTTTTTCACAGAAATAGAAATAAAATTATAACATTTGTATGGAACCACAAAAACCCCAAATAGGCAAAGCAACCCTGAGCAAAAAGAACAAAGCTAGAATTATCACAATTCTAGACATCAAAATATACTACAAAGCTATAGTAACCAAAACAGCATGGTGCTGACATAAAAACAGGAATGTAGACTGATGGAACAGAACAGAGAACCCAGAAATTAATCCACATATCTGAAGCCAAATGATTTTTAACAAAGGTGCCAAGAACACTCACTGGAGAGAAGACAGTTTTTTCTATCAATGGTGCTGGAGAATTGGATATTCATATGCAAAAGAATGAAACTAGACTTCCCACATCTCACCCTTTACAAAAATCAACTCCAAATGGATCAAAGATCTAAATGTAAGACCTGAAACAATAAAGTTACTAGAAGTAAACACAGCAGAAGTACTTAGGCACTTTTGTCTGAGAAAAGATTTTATAAATAAGACCTCAAAAGCACAGACAACAAAAGCAAAAATAAACAAATGGAATTATACCAAACTAAAAAGCTCTGCACCACAAAGGAATCAATACAGTGAAAAGACAACCTACAGAATGGGAGAAAATAGTTACAAAATACTTATCCAAAAGGGGATTAATCTCCACAATCTATGAAGAACTGAAATTTCTCCATAGCAAAAAAAAAAAAAATCCAATTAATAAATGGATCTGAAGAGACACTTCTCAAATAACACACAGATAGCCAAAAAATATATGAAAAAAAATGCTCAACATCACTAATCATCAGGAAATGCATAGCAAAACCACAGTTATGGCTACTATCAAAAAAGACAAAAAAAAATAAATTCTGATGAAAATGCAGAGAAGGGGGAATTCTTATATACCGTTGGTGGGAATGCAAACTAGTACAGCCACTATGGAGAACAGGATGGAGGTTCCTAACTACAAATAGAACTACCATATGGTCTCACAATCGCACTGCTGGGAATTTATCCAAAGGAAAAGAAATCATCATATTGGAGAGACATCCACACCCCCATGCTTATTGCAGCCCTATTCACAGTATCTGAGATGTGGAACCAAGCTTGGTGTCCAACAACACACGTGTGGATAAAGAAAATGTGATATATGTACACCACGGAATACTATTCAGCACTCGAACAGAATGAAATCCTGTCATTTGTGGCAATGTGGATGAAATTAGAGGACATTATGTTAAGTAAGCCAGACACAGAAAGTTAAACACCTCATGTTCTCACTCATGTGAAAGCAGAAAAAAGTCTATCTCCTAAAAGTAAAAAGTAGAACAGAGGACACTAGAGGCTGGGAAGGGCAGGAGGAAGGAAGAGATAGGAGACATTTACCAAAGGATACAAAATTACAGCTACATAGGAGGGATCAGTTCTAGTTTTCACACCACTGTAAGATGACTATAGTTAATAATACAGAGTTTCAAAGAGCTAGGAGGAGGAAATTGAATCTTCCCAACACAAATAAATAATAAATGTTTAAGATGAACATGCTGATTACCTTGATCTGATCACATTATATGTATTGAAACATCAATACGTACTTCATGAAAACATAGAATTATTATTTGTTGATTAAAAACAAATAATTAAACTTTAAAAAGCATTGTGGAAGAGGAATCAAGGTCTCAGATATTGTGAAGGAGAGGTAGGCTGCCCACACTGGGCCTTGTTCAAATTTGTAAACCACAGAATCTGTGAGCAAAGTAAGATGGTGTTTGTCTCACTCTACTAAGTTTGGAGTGGTTTGTTATGACTTGGAGGTTGTTATTTGCATGTGGCAGCTGGAACTGTGGCTGCCACCTTGGGACCATGAGGTAGACAGAATAAGAATCAGTCAATAGACATGGAAAGGACCTTATTCCCAAATGACGTTATTGAATAAATTAATTGACCATTCCAAGAACTGCTCTGCCTACTGAACTTTTATTACGTGCAATTATAAATTCATTTTTGTTTTGGTCATTTGGGAGAAAAAAAACTACTCCAATTAAAACTTTAATCTCAAACTTGATTTACATATCATGTCCTCTCTTCCGATTTACATATCATGTCCTCTCTTCCTATTCGTATGGTTTGTTTAAGTTAAGGCTCTAGGAGTTGAGAAAGGAAGGGGCATGAAGGCTCAGAGGTGCTTCCTCTACCCTCTCTTCAAGGCCTGGTTTCTTCAGTTTGTCAGCCAGAAGGAGGCAGAGAGCTGGAAGGAGGTGTCTCATAACTGGCTGCTATGGTTCTTCTCCCCATATGTTACTCTGCTTCTCATGGCAGCATGAACTAGTTCTAAACACCCTCAATATGGTTGCTGATCAAATCCCTGCTCTTTCAAGGAGCCCATGTGAGAATTATTCTTGGTTCTCCCAGGCCCCAGCACAGCTCACTTCCCTAACCCAGGAGACTTGGCTCTCTGGTCCTACCTCTCTGCTCCCCATAGCTCCCACCTCTAGGGGTACTTGTGACAGCATCATGACAGCTCATTGCCAGAGCCCCCTTCTCACCTGGAAGCTCTCTTAAGTGGCTCAGGTTACCTCCCCAGTGGCCTCTGGGCCCATGGGTGACATGTTCATACTTGCCTTGGTCACACCCCCTCCCTGCCCTGACGTCTCTTGTTCTCTTTCTCCTGCTTAGTGGGGCCCAGAGCAGATCAGCAAGTCATCCAACTAGAGACCAAGATGTCAATCTCCCCTTCCAAGGCCTCTATTTCGGAGCCTCCCCTCACTGGGCTTGCTGGAGATGAGAAGGTAGGGATATAACTTTCACCTCACCCAGGGGGAAGAGGAGAAATAATTGCTCAATACAGATGCCTCATACTCGAGGCTTTCTTCCCCACTCCTCCTTCTTCACACGCCCCCGTCTTAGTTCATTCCTGCTGCTGTAACAAACTATCTTAGTCTAGGTAATTGACAAACACATGTGTTTCTTACAGTTTCCGAGGCTGGGAAGTCCACAATCGAGGCACCAGCATTTGGTGTCTGGTGAGGAACTTCTTACTGCGTCTTCACATGGCAGAAGGGACAGTGTCTTCATGTGGCATAAGGCAGAAGGGCAGAAAGGGCCAAGTTAGTTCCCTCGACCCCTTTCACAAGGCCAGTCTCATTTGCGAGAGTGGAGCCCTGCTGCTAATCACCTCGGAGAGGCCCCACCTCCTGATACTATCACGTGGGATCTTAGGTTCCGTCATAATGAATTTGCGGGGAGCACATAGATTCAAGCCATAGCACCCCCTTCCAAGTTTTCTTGTGTAGACTTGGAAGAGGGATGCAAGCGGCTGATGGCAGAAGGAGCTACTCATGATCTCCTAACCAGCCTGGGCGGGGGAGGCTTCCAGGGACCTCCAGGTCTTGCTGGGTCTCCTTACAATGGAAGATGGTTCACACCTAGTGCCCATTTGGGGGTATCAGGAGAAGGACCACTCAACATCCTTCAGCAGCCTTCAGCAAAAATGTACAAGCTCAAAAAAAAAAAAAGACAACATATATTTTCACCACAGAATCCAGGGCACAAACCTGTTTGTCAGAGATGAGTGAGGCTATGTGTATCTTGTGTGTGTAGGCACAGAAACCTTCTCCCAACCAAAAAGTTCATCTCCTGAGTGAGCTGGTCAGGAAGGAAGGGCCAGCTCTGCAACTAAGGAAACCGAAGAGCTGTTTAGGGGCAGGGAACAGATCCCAAGTCTTCAAGACCCTGGCACCTGAGGGGGATCATCTCAAAAATCCTGAGCTCATTGAAGACTTTATTTTCCCCATTATCCAGTCCTCACTTACCCTCAATAATCGGTCAAGAAGCCACTAAATGGACAAATTGGAAGGACATAAAGCACACACAGTTCAGAGAAGCTGGAGAGACCAAGAGTTGTTATCAATAGAGTAAAGGTTACTCCCTCAGTGATTTTCAGAGTAAGCCCCTAAGATGGAAATTTCATTGTAAACTTAATAAAGGATAGAGGACTACTGTGTCCAGGGACTGACTCTGCTCTCTCTTTTCACAGTTTGGTGCATGTCCAATAGTTGCCCAGTGACTCAATGACTTTGCAGTCCCTACTGTTTGCAATGTAGAGATAGAGAGGAAAGCCGGTTCCCACCCCTAGACTGCTGGGAGGGAAGACACACACTCCAGTGACAATCCCAGCAGATACAAAGCATATTGGAACAGTACCTGACCATAAGAGACACTGAATAAATGCTTTTAAACCAAACTGATTTCAAAGGTTTGAAATCAGGGTATCCAGAAATGTAAATCGGAGCAAAAATGCCAAGTTAGATGCACAGTGGTTACCAGGGGAGGAGGCACCAAGAGCAAGCTGATGGTGGGTGGGCGGGGCAGGGGGGCAGCCAACTTTGAGTTGGAATGCTGGAGTTACAGTGTAGAGGTTCTGCCTCCCACTGAAAGGAGTTCAAGACCAGGAGAGCAGGTTAACAATCTTGTGATGGCTTTGTGGTCAGAAGTAGAAGTAGACTTCTCCCAGCCCCGGAAGGAGAGAGAAGGCATGCCAAAGATCCTTCTTAGAGAAAAGACTAGAAAGGATGTGGACTCATATTCTGTCATGAGGGCCGGCAAGATGGCAGATGAAGCCTACCGAGGACCAAAGTTTGCTTGATTTGATCTAGTGTCTAACTGGATTACATAACTCTAGTGCTAATAAATAACAGCTACATCACAAGAATGGAACAATCCTGAGACAGGCCAATGTCTTTCTCCCCGTTTCTCAGATGAGGAAACTGAGGCATAGAGAAGTTATGTGACTCGCCCATGTTCACATCGTTTGTAAGTGGAACCAGGATTCAAACCTGACCCTACGGATCCGCAGCCTGTGCCCTTACCCACATGGCTCTCCACCCTGTGGTAAGCTAGAGAGTTCTGCATCGCGCAGCCCACTCAGAGGAAGAGGAGCCTTCTCTCCGAGTCAATCAGTTTGCGTTATGTAGTGATCCACAGCAAAGGGTGGGGGGAGGAATAGCCAGGGAGGGTCGAAAAAGGGGCTTCTTCTCTGCGACCATTCATGAAAGGAGCATTCAGGATGATGTCCACAGTTTTCAGGAAGAAAAGAGTACATTCCTTCCAGGTCACTGCGGTTTGAAAAAAAAAAAAAAAAAATCCTTGTTCTTGCCCAGCTGTCCCGGCAAGGTTTTCGGTGGGCTGCGGATAGGGTTGAGGCGCCACCTAGTGGCTCAAACTGAAAATACTTCCAAATAAATGTCCCCGGTGAACACAGGTTGAGGGAAATCGTGATCTGCCCAAGGCAGGAAAAGGGAATCAAAAGCAAAAACTCCTCAGGCTCAAAACCTCCTTTTTTGTTTCTGTGCTCCCCTCTAGCCTACAGCTACGCGTCATTAAAAGATGTCTTTTTTATGCCAGCCTGGTCAGGAACAATTACGTTTCGTTTTTGTGTTTGGTTTTTTTTCTGTGTTTTGTTTTGTTTTGTTTTTTGTTTTGTTTTGTTTTGTTTTGTTTGAGATGGAGTTTCCCTCCTGTCCCCCAGATTGGAGTGCAGTGGTGCGATCTTGTCTCACTAAAACCTCCACCTCACGGGTTCAAGTGATTCTCCAGCCTCAGCTTCCCGAGTAGCTGGGATTACAGGCACGTGCCACCATGCCAGGCTAATTTTGTATTCTTAGTAGAGACGGGACTTCACTATGTTTGCCAGGCTGGTCTCGAACTCCTGACCTCAGACAATCCACCCGCCTCGGCCTCCCAAAGTGCTAGGATTACAGGCGTGAGCCACCACGCCTGGCCAAGGACTATTGTACCCAGTGCATCAGGAACAAAGCACAAGCCAGAATCCAGGAGACCTAAGCCCCAGTCCCCAGTCACTTACTCTCCAACAAACTAAAGATTACCTCCTAAAATCTCCCCTCACCATTTAGAACCATCCTGGATCTTTACCGAAAGAACTATAGTCTAGATTAGGCATGTGAACGAGGAGAGTTATGGGACAGGAAGGCGGCTAGGAGATTCAGTCTGAGGGAAAAAGGTTTAAACGCAGCTTCTAGAACTCTGAACAATGTTCATACGTCGATGTCAGGTGCAGATGAGGCTGTCAATTGGTGAAGTCAATTCAGGATGGTTGATAAGAAGGGTTTCAGCCAGGGCCCATCCTCAGGAAACCAGGCAGCTGATTGGGCTTCCTCACCCCACCTCTAGAAACCTGGGGAGATGAGGAAATTTCAAGCATTCAAAGGATGAGGCAGGAGAGGTTTAAAACAGATAAAATCAGATCCAGGAAGTGGCCAAATTTAGTGTAACTTATGCCAGGTTGATGATGGTCAGTCTGTACAGACTTGGTCCCACGTCTGTTGAGGTTAGCAGCGTGCAAGGTGTGATGGAGCCCTCGACCCTGCAGCCATCGATACTCTGTTACGTTTCCTAAGAATAACACTCTAGATGTTCCTCTCTGCCCCTGGGCTTTGTTACATCCGCTTTCCAGGCACCCCTGCAAGCTATCGGTATTCAGATCAAGGCAGAGAAGGGCATTTCTTCTATTTGACCATCAGGAACTTGCCCTTTGGACATATCAGGACTGACACTGCAACTCATTCCTTCACCTTTCCTTTAGCCTCTGTAAGTCAGGTCCCCAAAGTTTCAGGCTCCCCTGCCCCTGTTCTCTCTTTTCTATTTTGGCTCACCTTTATTTTCACTTTTTAATGTTGGCTCTATTCTTTTTTTTTTTTTCCTCTTTTTTTATTGCATTTTAGGTTTTGGGGTACATGTGCAGAACATGCAAGATAGTTGCATAGGTATACAGGTGGCAATGTGATCTGCTGTCTTCCTCCCCTTCACCCACATCTGGCTCTATTCTTGAATGACGTGTGACTGTGCCTATTGTTTTAAGCTGAGCTCAGGACTCAGTCTCACTAGAGATCAGATGGTTTTGCTGGTCAGAGTCATGTCAGGATCTTCTCCACCCTATCTCAGATTCTTGCCACAGCTGTCAGACTGCTGTTTCTCCTTATTGCAAAGGCTCAGACCACTGAAGAGCTCCCTAAACTTACGTAGGCTAAAGGGATCTCCCTTGGGTCTTTGGTTATTTATCATACATAACTGATTAGCATCCCCAGAGATCAAAGAATGAATGAGCCTTCCTCTGTCTATGTCAGTGGTATATTCATGTCCTAACATAGTCGTGTTTCCCATTGTATTTGCTTGAAAGGCTGAACTGCTGTAATAGAGGCCCTGAATTATAGTGCCTTCAAAATAAAGTTTCTTTATCTCTCATGTTACAGTTCAGAAAAATATCAAGCTATTTTTCTGGGCACAGTCACTTGGCGACTCTTCCATTTCATTTCTTCACCACCTGTTAGAGAATTTTCCTATGTTCAATAAATATTTGAGCACTTAATATTTAAAAGGTTCGGGGTCACATTTTCCAGGAGGTAGGTAGTTCAGCCTTCTTAGAACTCGTGATCTAACAGGAACACCAAGCGAGTAAAGGAATAAGTATAGTACAGAGAAGAGAAGCAAGCATAATAGTGAGACCTCCAGAGATCAGATGAGGAAGGAATCACCCTCAATTCAGGGACAACAGGAAAGTGTTCACAGAGGACACGTACCTAAGAAAAGATTGGAGGGATAAATAAGATTTCAGTAAAGAAGAGAAGAAAATGCTATTAGTGGAGAAAACAGTGTGAACCAAAGTTTGAGGATTAAAATATACGTAGAAATTCTCCTAAAAGCCCATCGAGGATAGATTGGATAAAGAAAATGTGGTTCATATACACCATGGAATGCTATGCAGCCATAAAAAGGAACAAGATCATGTCCTTTTCAGGAACATGAATGGAGCTGGAAGCCATTAACCTCAGCAAACAAAAGCAGGAACAGAAAACCAAACACCACATGTTCTCACCTATAAGTGGGAGCAGAATGAGGAGAACCCATGGACACATGGTGGGAAGAACACACACTGGGGCCTGTTGGAGGGAGTGGAAGGAGGGAGAGCATCAGAAAGAATAGCTAATGGATGCTGTGCTTGATACCTAGATGAGGGGATGAGCTGTGCACAAACCACCAAGGCACACGTTTGCCTGTCTAACAACCCTGCGTATTCTGCACATGTACCCCTGAACTTAAAAGTTGGAAATCTAATAAATAAATGAATAATTTTACAAAAAAAACATT